ATTAACAATCAAACTAAAATTAACCCTAGAACCTTAGTCGCTAAACCGTATGCAAGTCCCCGGCAACGGCGCCAAAAATTGATCGGTTGGTCAATTATACATCAACCCTCGCAATAGCACGAATCATTGTAAAATAGGGCTATTGGTCGGGTAAGTCGAACCACTGGAACTGCGCTAGTCTATGGCAACCTAAGTGTCTAGAATTGTTCTTAGAATGATAAGGGGTTTATAGAGGTTTTGTTAGATGTCACTTATGTTAGGAAATTAAAAGTGCATAAAACAATAAATTGCAAGAATTCAAGGGAGTGAAGTACAAGTAAAGAAGGCTAGGGAAATGAATCCACCTCCATCCCTATACACATGCTAGGTTAAGATTAATTTAAGGGAAAAACAACATATATGATAGTCATGATACATAACAATACTAGGTTGCTATAATATCCTCAAGAAGTTCATTTAAATAGGAAGGCAAGAATAAACCATCAAAGGTTTACATGATCAATTACCTAAACTAAAATGTAGCTTAGAACATGCTTACTAAGTCAAGGATTATCAAGCCCTAATTTAAATGGTGAATGCACATAAAGTAAAGAATCAAGTATAGACCATCAAAGGGAAACCCTAAGCCATGAACTATCTAGGTTCTCCAACTCCATGCCATTAAAACCATTTCATGATCTAACTTCCATTGTCACCATGGAAGTGCAAGCAATATGATGAAGAAAAGTAACCATCCAAGACAAGATGAATAACTCACAATAATCATTTATAAACATTAAACATTCATTACAACAAAAATGAGGCTCTTGATCATGGAAAGACTATCAAAAATACATTGTAATCCCCAAAAATAAACTATACTAACACATGCTTACAAGGGAGGGGTTTCATCACCTCCCTAGATGAGGTTTAGTTGCCCATTGGTGAGCTAGAAGAAGGAAGAAGCATCATCCTCATCTTCATTTTCGTGCACCCTCTTTGGAGCTTGAAGAACCCCTCTTTCTTGCTCTCTTCTCTCTCCTCTATCTTGTAAAAATGAAGCTTAATGTCTTGTGTGGCTTCCCTCTCTTCTCTTCTAGAGATAAGGCTCTAGAAACCCCCACCAACCAACATCTCCAATCAACCATTAAAGAGGGAAATTAGAATTGAAGAACCCAAGATGCAAGTGGCTGAAAATGGGCCATTTCCGGATGCAATTCTGCCCTAATTTCGAGCACTCGAAATTGGAGCAGAATGCTCCATTCTTGCCTTGCTCCACCCAGACCTACTTCGGTTAAATAGCCATAACTTTGCGCTCCAAACTCCGAATGATGAACCGTTTAAAGATTTGGAAAGCTAATTCAGAGCTTTAAATACTTCATGTTTTGGTGGAGATCCAATTCTCAAGGATGGTTGGTCGAAAATGAAGATCAAGGCAGAATTTCATTGCTGCCAGGCAGTTCTGCGCACCTCTGGTAACAAGGCCATAACTCTCTGCTCCGAGCTCCGAATGACAAACCGTTTGAAGATTTAGAAAGCTAAAAATATGCCATTTTATAATGGAAGTCCAGATCTCGAGCTTTCTGGGTCAAAAGTGGCAATCAAAATCGAGCTTCACTGCTGCCAGAATTTCAGAATTGGCTCCCCTCTTTTGTAGACATGTTACTCCACCCAAAAAGCCCTCTCTCTCCTCCAAGAAACATCCCCAACCAACTCATAAAGAGAGCATACATAGTTAGCAAATTTCTGAGCACAAGTGGCTGATCTCGTGAAGCAATCTGCCCTAATTTCAAGCACTCGAAATAAGGCCTCGAGCACTCGAAAATTGGCCAGAATGCCCTATGCTTGGTTTACTCCGCCCGGACCTACTTTGGTAAAACGGCCATAACTTTGCGCTCTGAACTCCAAATGATGAACCGTTTGAAGATTTGGAAAACTAATTCAGAGTTCTAAAACTTTATGTTTTGGTGGAGATCCAATTCTCAAGTCTGATTGGTCGAAATTGAAGAACAAGGCAGACTTTCGTTACTGCCAGGCAGTTCTGAGCACCTCTAATAAGAAGATCATAATTCTCTGCTCCGAACTCCGAATAACAAACCGCTTGAAGATTTGGAAAGCTGATTCAGAGCTCTAAATCTTTCATGTTATGATGGAAGTCCAGTTCTTGAGTTTGGTAGGTCAAAATGGTGACAAAAGTCAGGTTCCACTGCTGCCAAGCTTCATCATTGTGCCTTTTGATGGCCAAAACTCCACAAAGCCTTGATTTTGCTCCTTTTTTTAGCAAATGGACCTGAAAATATATACATACACACAAATGAAGATAATTTACTTAAATAATCAAACGATGGACTTAACTAATACAATTTAGGACGCTTGAATATACAATATTCGGCGCTTATCAAAATATTAAGATATTTGGACAAACAAAGATCGTGAGTTGGGGAGGGAAATCAAATGGAGAGAACAATTTGAGAGTATTGTAACGAGGAAAAATCTGAAAGGAAAAAAAGAAGAAGAGGGAAATCGAGGGGAAATTACGAACAATGTTTGAAAATGACGATATTGTTAATTAAATAGAATGATGATGTTTTGAGTATTGCTTCAAGATAATGATGTGACAGCTCATCCTACGGCTAGATCTAATACTCGCAGATGCCCAAAGAGGGCATCACCTTGCAGGATTGTTGCAATATAATCGAGAAAGCAATCTTTTCCCCGGTGAGCTTTCTGGTAGGGCTTGAGGAGCCTAATCCAATATTTAAGGCAAACATACAAAAGCTGATGTGATATATATATATATATATTGAATGATGTGATATATTTGTCTGCACCACTCAGCTTCCTTGTAAAATCCGAGACTACGTCATGGCTTACCTCATCTAATCCATACCCCATTATCATTATTATATTTTGGAAATTTCCTTGTATATATAGTCTTCTTTTTAAATTCCATTAAATTCATATATCGCCATTGGTTGTTAAAAAAATATATCGTCATTGGTGATTTCATTTTTCCCATTAAAAATTACCTCACCCATTTATCGTTTTCGACTGAGTCTCAAATTTCCGGCACTTTATATACTATCTGTTTGTATTTATATCATAACACAGTCACTTGGTTTCTGACCCTTTTATTTTGGATTTGCAAGGACTTCCAAACTACTCTGAATCATCACACCCTTGGGTTTCCTCTATTTCATGGTATGCTCTTATTTTCTTTTTCTTTTCCTTTTTTTTTTTTTTTTTCTTTTTTTAAATAATTCTTGTTTTAATCATTAAATTCGATGAAAAAGAAAACACATAATATTCTACCCAGTTCAAGCTATCAATGTGTGATGCAATATAATTATGTCAATTTGTCTGTGTTTTCTTTTGAGAACATTCCTTAAAGCGCCATAATGACTGTCCTTGCTTTACATTTGAATTCTTGAATTAGAGAACTAGATATGGATATGCTTTGTTATAAAATTTCTTTGAAAAGGTTGAGTTATCTGTATGTCTAAACTTTTAGCTGTTTGTTAATGGTCTTGTTTGTTGGAAGTCTCCTTCAGGTTTATAATAGTCTCTTCATTTAACTCAGTATTAGAATCTCTAGTATTAGAATCTTTAAGGATGTCCCTTTCTGTTTTTCTATTCTTGGTTGGTCTTAGGTCTTAGTCATCCCCTGTAGATTTGCTTGGTTTGTGAGGAAATTTTTTTTTTTTTTTTTTTTTTTTGCCATATCATTGTGGTCCTACAAAGGGTGTTATCTTTGGCTCTTTTTGTGCAAAGTGGCTACTCTCATAGGGTTATCACCCTTTCCGGCCAAAGATTTTGCCATCTTCTAAGAAGCATGGACTCTTCTATGAAGGTGCAGTGACTGTGTCGTATACCAACCCTCCTGAACATGGACATTTGTAACTTTAATATGAAAATTATAAAGGGCGAAAAAAACCCTTGCTATATAAAAAATGTGCTGAAACAGCTTTACTATTTAGTATGTGCATATAAATCCCTATAATTTGAAAATGTGTAGCAAATTGCCACCTGATCATTAATTTTGACCAAATTTATTTTAAAAAATCTCAAAATAACCTTAAGAAATTTTGTGCATTAAGTGTTTTTTTTTTTTTTTTTTTTTTTTTTAATTATTATGCCATAAGGGCATATTAGGTATTTCAGTCATCAAATTGAGAAAATGTCCTTACTTGCGTAATTTGAAAATTTTAGGGGTTTTCTTTGAACACCTGTGTTTTTTTTGCACATTCGGTATATGAGAGGGATTTTGTTTTTTTTTTGCACTTTACCCTTGTTTTAATTAATATATATATATATATATATATATATATATATATATATATATGAAATTTTATATTTATATTAGTCGTACGCGACTAAGCACTGCGTCCGTGTCCTACATCTTTAGAATTTGACATACTAGGTGTAGATTTTGACATACCTTGTCATTCTTAACTATTTAATAAATATTAGATTTGGAGGCAAAATTAAATAGGTCAATTTTTTACTTATTAAATTGACTTTTCGGGGATTTTGTTTATCAATTGAGGCAGTTACCTATAGATTAGCCTTACTCAAGTAAATTGCATAAACCTCCATTATTATTGCATATATATTATGCATTTTGCGAATTAATCAACTCATAAGTTATTTAAAATTCCATTATGTCTTCAATCCTTAGCATTTTAATATATATTATGCATTCTAGGAGTTTATCATGTCCATATTAGTCATTTAAAACACCCAATACAAGTTAAGTAGCTTTGAAACCCCCGGAGAATAAAATAAACACCAAATTCACATTCTGCCATTTTTCAGCAGGGAGCAGGCTTCCATTTTTCGTGTCCTACATTGACATTTTTAGAATTTGACGCGTCAGTTATCTTAGTCTGGGTATTTATATTGACATTATGAAAGAAAATTTCTATATATCTATTTATTTCGGTCTTCCTCTGCTTTAGGGCTATACTTGTGTTAAAGCAATTTTGCTGTCTAACCAGTGATTTTTGACATCCGCAGAAATTATGGCACATTGTTCTGGAAGTTGGTTTCTTTCCTTACTAATTCTCCTATTGGGTTTAAGTGTTCAAACTTCACAATCTCGTATAACTATTGAAAATGGGGTTAAGTCTTCTGTCTTTCTATCACCGAAGTTTGTACTAGAACCAGGATCAGTGGCAAATAAGTACTACTATGGCATTGACTTTCCAAGAGGTCATATTGCCATCAAGAGTTTCAATGCTGAAGTAGTTGATGAAGCAGGAAATCCCATTCCCCTTCACGAAACTTATCTCCACCACTGGCTTGCTATGAGATACTATCAGCCTAAAAGTGTAGAAATTCCAAAGTACAACGACGGTCTGGGGTGCAAGTTGTTCAATCAATCTGATTTTAATTTCAGTAGGAACGCTGGTTTATGCGATTGTGATGGTCCTACCCAGTATTTTGGCCTTGGATCTGAAACTCGAAGAACAGCCACATATGTGCCAGATCCCTATGGAATAGAAGTTGGTAATCCAGCGGAAATTCCTGCTGGATATGAGGAGAAATGGTTGATGAATGTCCATGCAATCGATACGCGTGGTGTGGAAGATAGATTGGGATGCGCCGAATGCTGGTGTGATCTTTATAATGTTACAGAGGATGAAAATGGTAGACCTTTGAAGCCAGGTTTTACAGGAGGCGCGATATGTTGCTATGATCAAGCACAATGCAGGGTGAGAGAAGGCTTTGAGAGTCCCAAAAGAGGTCTATACATGAGATATACAGTCAAGTGGGTTGACTGGAATAATTTCATTGTGCCTGTTAAAATATATATATTTGATGTAACTGATACATGGAAGAAGTTAGATGACGGAGTTATAGGTCATAATTGCCCGGTGAGTGAATTTTTCTTCTATGGCTTGAAGTCATTAATTTTGGTCTAAATTATTTGATAGATGCAAGTAGTTTTAGTATATGCATGTGAATTTCAATATAAAGGCTTGTAAAACTATGCTGCTTTCAGTTTTTGAAATTTAGAACACTAAAAGATCTTCCTGAATCAAAGCAGATATAATAGCCCTGAATTCCTTTTTTCTTTTAAGTGCAAGTACAATAGTTTAGATGTACCACATAAGTGTAAAAAATGGTAGAATTTTGCACTGAAGGTAGTAGATTTTACAAAGGTCTTGATTGCATTCATGGAGATTAGGTTAATTGTAAGATATGCCAATACACGTTAAATTAGTTTGTATGAGAAGTGGAATTAATATTAGCTTATATTTGTCAGAGTGATATAATAAGTTTGTCTCTTTATCTTTTTATATTAATTTATTTGTCTTTTTGGACAATGATTCGAATGAACTTGCTTGATATAGGTGGAATATGATGTTGATGCTTGCACTGCTACTGATGAGGCTAATGATGGTTGCATTGACACCAAAAGGGTAAGCCTCTCTATGCCAACTGGTGGTAATGTCATCTACAGTGTTGCACACCAGCATGCCGGGGGAATTGGTTTAACTCTTTATGGAGAGGTGATTTTTCTAACTCCTTATTTCCAGTTTCCCATGTCTTCTTGCTCTTATCAGCTAGATTGGTGATATATTGTTTTTGCATAATATAGTACTGGACTTGGCATCCTCAACTGCAATCTTAGTCATTTGTTTCTCCTGAGATGAATTTCTCCAATTCCAATTCCATGCTATCGACTATAACTTTTAACGTATTTCTCCGGTCTCAATACCCAAACAACTAATTAGAAGTTATTTATTTTTCCTGTAAAGATGCTGTCAAAGATTATGAAACTTCTGAGGCTCGATGCATAAGTAATATTCCATTCCTGTATGAGGATATGATGGTTTCATTAATTTCTCAATATAAATTAAAGAAGATGGAAAATGCCGTTATTTTATTTTATTTTTATTTATTTATTATATATATTTTTGTAAGAATGAAAAAGTGGCTATCTCCTTGTGGAGCTGCCTGACTTGTGAGATGTTTTTTTGTAAGTCTCTTCTCTGAAAGGTGCTCCTTTTTACCCTTGATTTAGATGAAGATAATTTGTTTGTGAATACTTGTTATTTATTTATTTAACCACAAGTTACAAGTTCCTTCAATATATTCTTTGCTAAAGCATGTAATTAATTGTGTTGAACATTGACTGCTATTGAGTTAGGATGGACGGGTAATATGCCATTCAACACCGACTTATGGAGAAGGAAAGGAAGCAGGAAATGAGGCTGGTTATATTGTAGGAATGTCCACTTGTTATCCTCAACCCGGCTCTGTCAAGATATCTGATGGGGAGACTCTAGTTCTGGAATCAAATTATAGCAGTGCTAAAAGGCACACAGGAGTTATGGGGCTGTTCTACGTATTGGTTGCAGACAAAGTACCACAGCCCAATCCTTTCCTGCCTGCTCTGGTTGAAGTGAGATTTTCTTTTAGCCTTCATTTATAATTATTATTTTAGTTGGTCACACTTTATCGGACACAATGATATTTGAAACATCTTGCAAATGCACTGATGAATCTAGGGTAAAAAGAACTCTTTTCTAGAAACTGAAGAGATGATAATGATTGAACTTTGAAGGGTTCAGAAGCATATAACATTTGGATAGATTTGCAAGTATAGGAATGGATAGATCCAAAGCATAATATATATAAACCAGGAACCGAAAACAAGAAAAAGAAAAAGAAGAAGATAAATTATAATGAAGGGTAAGAAATGAGTGAATAATATCGAACAAACAGCCTCTGATGTTGCTTGGTTCTTGCAGGAGCATGAAAAGATGACATTACCTCGTTCTGTTTGGGGTATAGCATTTTTTGGAGCCGCAATAGCTGTAGCTGCTGCTGTTGCTTTTCGAAGAAAGAGTGAACGAGAGGAAGGCTACCAATCAATTTGATGTGGGCTGGTTTCAACATGTTTCATGTTGTAATGTATATACGTACTTTTTTATGATCCAGAGTCAAAACTGACATATCTCTGTAGTAATAAAATAAACCTTTAATTTATTTCCTCCATAAGTAGTTGTTTTGCATTATGTGGGCTGCATGGTTCTTGAGTTCAAAGTGCAGTTAGTTCTAATTAATCAGGCTGCTTGACTTCTCTTGGAAGTTCAAAATCAACTTGTCATGATTGATGCCTACTCTCAGTGGCATAGCCACAGAGGGACAAGTGGCCCCCACTGAACTTTTAATTTTTTTAAATTTTATATGGAAAGATTTTTATATTTGTATAATTGCCCCCTATATATGCCTTTAGATGGAGTTTTGGTTGTGTAATATTATTCATGGAAAAATAGGCATACAGTTTTTATTACATTGCTACTTTATAAGCAAATTCCATTCCATACTGAGGTTTCTATTCTACATCAACTGTCATCATATCCATGGGAAGCCTAAAACATTGTTCATATTCACATTCAAAATCACCACTCCAAATCAAAACAATAAATTAATATATCATCAATTCAGTTAACAAAGCTTGCTTTGGGATTGGGGCTTTGGGAGCCGCTTTCTTTGCTGCATTTGGTTGACCTTATAGATTGCTTTCTGTGGGTCATTTGATGAGGAGGGGTTAGGGGGAGGGGCTAGAAAGCCTTTTGTAGCCCTATCTTTGTTGTCTTCTCCTCTATTCTTGGTTAGCCATAGAAAGGAAGCCCCCTTTGTCAATGTTTGGATTGCTAGTGTTAGCATATCAAATTCGAACTCTTATAGTTCTGGGTCAATGGAAAGAAGCAAGATTGAAGCTTAGTCATACTCGCATTAGTGATAGGAAATGACTTTGTCGATATCTTCTATATTACTGAAGAGACTCTCTCATCAAGCGCATGCCTTGCAACACAAATCCTTCACTTCTGTATCGCTTTATTCATCTAGCACCTTTGAAAGGCCCTTGCGTCAATATAAACCCTTTTTTGTTCCCAAGCCTACGATCTCATTTTATCTGATTTTGTTTGGCAATCAAAAATAAATAAATAAATAAATCTTAGGAATTGTGGGCATGCTAGGAATTTTGGAAGTTCCAAGTGAATATCAAAACTAAGTTTCAAATAGATCAGGAAATTGGAAGGGGGCCTGAAATGAACCCAAAAAAAAAAAAAAAAAAAAAATTCCGTAAAGATAGAACAGAAACAAAAATTAGGAAACAAGACTCCATGTCAAATAACTAATGCGTGTTACCCCTTTATTACCATATGGACAAAAAAAAAAAAAAAATTAAGGAGAAGTTATGATAAACTAAATATCCTTATTCACATCTTGGGGTCAAGCTGCACGACTTGTTAAACCGTTGAACTTGCTCCTGAGGGTTACTATGGGCTGAGTGTGTAAGACCATTACCATTTTTTTTTCCCTGAATGGGGGGATTTTATAAATAAGAATGTACATTACAATAATTGTAAGGAGGTATACCTCTTTTTGACTAAATCATGAGCTAGAATAAGTCCACTTCCAGTAGATGCTGGACAACATCAAAAACATCATAAAGAGGAAGAAAATACAATCAATCAATCCTCTAATCTAATATTAAGGTATGTTATTACATCCCAAATAATAGATTGCACAACAAAATTAGGACTATCTTTGCAGCCATGATGCAAAGCAGTATTGCGTATGGACCAAATCTTCTAAATGGTAACTGAGAAAACAGCACACAATAAGATCATCAGCATAGAAAACATGAGAAATCTTCAGCCTTGAACTCACCATTGCCTTACAGAGTTTGATCCTCCCCATATCAATATAATTATTCATTAGAGTACTGAAATATTCAGTTACAAAGGAAAACAACAAAGGTGACAGAGGGCATCCCTTTCTAATCCCTTTAGCAGCAGTAAAATATCCAACAGGGACACCATTACACAATACAGAAAAATTAGGAGAGGATATACAAGCTTTAATCCAATTAATCCATTTTCCACTGAAACCATGTATCTGTAACCTTGATAAGATAAAACCCCAGTCCATTGAATCATAGGCCTTCTTCAGATCAATCTTCAAAGTCATATTAGGATCACCATGTTTCTTGCCAAAGTCCTTAACCAAATCAGACACTAACAGGATATTATCATGTAATCTTCTGTTCTAGATAACTGCAGTCTGTTCATTTCCAGTCAATTTAGGCAAGACTTCACTTAACCTATTAGCAAAAATCTTAGAAATAATTTTATAAACTAGATTACATAGAGCTATTAGCCTGTAATTGGTATCTTATCTCTGTGATTCAGTTTTGGGATCAGAGAAAGAAAAGTGGAGTTGATACCTTGAGGAAATTGGCTAATAGAAAAGAAGAACAAAGCTACCTTAATCATATCAGCCCCAACCACTCCCCAGAATTTGTGAAACAATCTAGCATGGAATCCATCAAGCCCTGGAGCTTTGTCTGGATTAAACCTCATCACCACACCCTTTACTTTTAAGCAGAAACATCACAATCTAGAGAACAACATTCTTTTTGAGTCAAAAACTTTCTAGGTGGAATTGACTCTTGTAATAAACCTCTGGTTGTGTGAATAAATCAGAATAATATTTCACCAACCATCCTCTGATAGTCTTAAGATTAGAAGAAATCTCACCATTCAAATTTTCCAATTGAGTAGTTGCATTCAAACCTCTTCTTTACTTAACAATGTCGTGAAAATAAGCAGTGCATTTGTCCCCTTTGTTAATCCATTTTACCCTGGATTTTTGAGCCCACATGATTTCTTCAAGTTCAAGAACCTGCTGAAGCTTTCCACTAGCCTCCCTTTATTTATTTATGCTTTCTTGTTGTGTGGGATCTTGAAGCAGCTCAATTTGAATTTGGTGCAAATCCTCCCTAACTTCTTGAACTTGATCTGAAACAAGACCTTTAATTAACTTTGTTCCACCATTTGACAGCAGCCTTAACATCCCTCAATTTCTGTTGCAATATATGAATAGGATTACCTGAGCCAACCACTTCCCAAGATTTAGTCACATCATTAACCATCTCTTCTTGCAGACACCAAATTTTCAAAAATTTAAAAGTCTTTGGTCCTTCTGAACAACTTAGATGCCATTTAACAGCCATTTTTGCAGCCACAGATCATTTGTCAACACTCTATCTAGTTTAGCATTGATTTTAGCATGAAAATTCTGTTTATTACACCAAGACCAATCCCCATTATTAATAGGGATGTCATCCATCTACATATCATAGATAAGACTGTTAAATTCATCCAATCTTGCTTGAGGGATTCTCATACCACCTTTCTTCTCATAATTTTACCTCACTGTATTCTAATCTCCTAATGTTATCCAAGGATCTTTAACAATAATAGCTTGTTCTTTAAGTGATTTCCACAAATCCCTTTTGTCTGCTACTCTATTAGCGGCATATATAGCAGTAATACAAAAAGTTAAACCTGACTAAATGTGTTTCACTTGTAATAACATAGATTCTGCATCCTCTTTCAGCAGCTTAACATCAAACACAATGCCATTCCAACCAACCAAATTTTTCTCAAGTAGCTTGACCTGTAATTAGCCAATCACTTCCAATGATGTCTAATTTTACTTTGAATTCTTTGAGCTTTTCCTTCCTTAACCCTAGTTTCCACAAGGATAGCTAAAGCAAACTTCTGATCTACAATCCATTGCTTTACTTCCTTTTGCATGGGAGGTCTGTTAAGACCTCTCACATTCCAAGCCCCTATCATTCTGCAGAAAGTGACAGTGATCCACTGCCAACAAGTTTACTCCTGGTCACTCTGTCTGAAGATGGGATATAAGGCTTCTTTCTTTGTCTTGATTTACCCCCTCCTTGAGAATCAACTTCCTTTGAACCACTATTATCTAGTTTAAGTTTTAAAATTCCAATACCTTCAAATGAGACATTGCCCCTTATATCTTCTAGCCCCTCTAACTTGTCTTTTTTTTTTTTTTTTTTTTTTTTTTCTGATAATCCATACTTATAATTGAAGATTCAGAAGAACCTGTAACAATCTCTTCACTATTAGCTTTTTGTTGTTGGTGTTCCATCTCATCGTCCTCCTCATTCTGCACATCAACACCATCTACCTGCTGCTGATGTTCCAAATTTCCAATAATGATTACACCAAGCCCAACTTTAGGCACCGTTTCAATTTTCTTCTAAAAACTTGAGATATTTGGGGAATCAATTATAGCAAAATCAACATATTGTTACTGCTGTACAACATCCACAACAAGACTAGAAACATTTTCTAATACCTCCTCGACCACAACTTTATTATCTTCTAACCAAGCAAAAGAGTTCTTCGTAACAACAACATTCTCTATTTACAAGCCTCTCACAGGCATATTATAAGTAATCTTGTCTACAATCTCACTCTCAGCTGCCTTTCCTTTCCGTTTAACCCTATCCAAAGTTTTTTTTGGTTTGCTCTGTAAAAATTTCTTAGACATTTATCTTCTGTGTGATCCACTCTACTACAGAGTTTGCAAACCACTGGTTTCCATTCATATTCAAAAGTAATAGTACAATCAATGCCATGTATATCAACCACCATCTCTCTTGGTAAGATTTCCTTAACTTCCACTTCTACCATAACTTTGACAAAATGCCCTTTGTCTCTAGTAGTGTCGAGATTATCCATATAGATAGGTCTTGCAAAAGATAAGCACGCCTTAGACATAGAAGTTTCATTATGACAATGTAGAGGTAAATTGAAGATACGTAGCCACACTGGTACAGTTTCAAGAACCTCCTTCTCAAAATTAACATTCTTGTACCACCTTTTCAATATGATTGGCCTTTCTTCAAATGTATAGATCATGGATAACACTTTCTAAACATTATCATCATTCTTGAATCGCACCATGAAAAATCTGTCCTTAAGATAAACTAATATGGAATCTTTAGACTAGTATTTTTCCATAAAAGTTTTGAAATATGGATAGTATGGTTTTCTTCCCATTACATATCCAATAATAGATGATCGCCAAT